GGGGGGGGGGGGGGGGGGGAGGTAAGCCCAGATATCACCACTGTCTAGAAACTTCAGTGAGGTTGGGCGAGTACGAAGCGCAGGATTGCAGTTTCGCAGCCTTTGCTAGAAGTTTCCACCGAGCCCAGCTGCTACATAGTCCCGAAATGATCCTGATGTCCAAACTGTGCATCCTAAGCCGAGGCTTTGTGCTTGTTTTGTCAAATACTGAAGTTTGCACGCAAGAGCCTGGTAAGCTAGTGGCCACGAGCCCGTGCTCTTACGCACTAGTCACTAGCCGATTGCTCGATATATTTCATGGTGCCACCTAGTCGGATGCTGTGCCCTTGCACATGTTGGAAGCGCCAGTGCGGCTGCAGCACATGTTACACATGGAAGATTGCCTTCGTCGTTTAGACGCTGGTGCGCATGTTGCTAATCCCTGCCCTCTCACCAATCCATTTCCTTCTTGTCGCTTCCGACGCCAGCCTTTCCAAAGTCGAAGCTCGACGAAAGGCCGCGTCTACGAGGGCCAGTGGCAGGCGAACCTTCGGCATGGCCGCGGAGTACTTTACTGCCCAGACACTCAGTATCAGCACCCGTTTCTGAGGTTTATGCTTGTCAACTTCAGGCTTCCACCGTCGGACATCAGCTTGTCCTTCAACGGACGAACAGATGGGTTCGGCCTGTACTAACAAGAAGAACTTAGAATTCAGGGACTATGTGTGGGACATAGCGATACATGATGCAGGGTCGTCTAGCAGTATGGGCAGATTGCTGAACTGAACACCACTTGAAGTGACGGGACCTGTTTGGATGGTCTTGACTCGAGGCCGACAATTCTGTCACTGGGTTCGAAGTTTGTCTTCGAGAGGTGGTACGCCAAACTTTCCTTCCATTCCCCTGCATTGGATGGTTTGGGCTGTACACTGGGATTCGGCTCAAAAGTCTAGAAGCCTCAGTTTCGACTCAGTTTCGATGCAGTCAAATCTAGAAGCACCTGTGCTTCGAGATGATTTTGGCCCAGTGCATCCTTGGAGCCTCGGAGCAGGAGCTGCAAAGCCTCTCAAGCTCAGTCCGCTGTGAGCGTTTATGTTTGATTCTAGCTTGTTCTGGTGTTTTGCGGTTCATATATCCACTGCCTTTCTTTTTCTAATCGACACCGTCCCATACCAAGATGTCGACGGCAGCTCGCTTAGTGGCACGTGGTGTCTCGTGCTCAGCTGCAGAGACGATACATGCGACACTGGGCTTGCAGGGGCATGCCAGACAGGCGGATCATGGGAAGGAGTTCTGATCACCAACCCGTGGCACAGTTCCAGAACTTTTTTGAGCCAAGAGGTGTCTGCCTGGCTGACCTCGATCTTGTTCGGTTCCTCCATTCAAAAGCCGGTCTTAATCGTTGAGTTTGACTTGATCCTTCAACCTAAGCTACCATCGAAGGTTTGAGGCCGAAGCCAAACGACACATGTAATAGTCCTGTAAGGCAGGACACCCCCACAGCAGCTCTTGGCCACTTGCCTGCTGCAAAAACTCTGTTGCTGTCCCCTGTTGTAACCTCGCCAACACTCAGCTGCAGGTCATGGGGAGCCGCCGCGGTGATCAGCTTTCCGTCTGTCTCAGGTCCGAACTCCGGAGAACTGCGGGCTGGTTTGGACTCGCGAAAAAACCTCCTTGATTGGTGAAGCCTGTTGACGTCACCCCAACTCGCCCTAAAGCCTTGCTTTCAGCCGGTCACCTGCCAAGCTGCAGCCCCCAAGCCAAAGAGGGCTGGACAGAATCAGCTTTGATGAAAAAAGCGCTGGCTCCCCGAGTCTCTCCTTCGCTTCGGAGTCAAGGCGGTGGTGCCTTAGTGAGGCTTCGTCTTTCACGGATGCTTCGGCTGTGGAAGGTTCCCGGTTCCCCGAAACCAACTCCAAAGGAAGGATATTACGCGTTTGCTAAGTACATGATCAGGTGTAGGCTCAAGTTAAAGGGCGTCGGATACGAGGTCTTCCTCTTGAAAGTTTAGTGATGCGGCCTCAGAGCCTAAACTGAACCCTGCGTCCCGAACCAAGCATCACGCATTGTTTAAAATTCCACGGCTTCGGGAGCATAGCCTGTACAAGGGCCTGCATGCAGACGTTTGGCTGTATGCCTCGCCAACGAGTTGGTAGACTGGCAGACGGCACAAGCTCATGGATATGTCGGAAATGTCGGCTCAGCAATGAGTGGATGGTATGCGGACACCGCAGAGTCAGTCTTTTCATGAGTTGCAGCAGGCACAGGGAGGCAGTAAGTGCTCAGCGTCGTGGTCTTTAGGCTTACGCTTCCAACTTACTTAGCATGGCCAACCTAGGTCTAGGTCCACGAAGACCCGAATCCACGCCAGCAGCTGCAACCCCCCTAGACCAGCATTGACAGGCCGTGCGAGCATTGGCAGGTCTTGCGATCGATGCTGCACTGCGTTAGGGTGTTGAAATTCCCTGGGCCAGCTGGCCACTAGCTTCATGTTCCAACAAACATGGGCCTCGGAGGACATCTGCAGGGAGATGAGCAAACGTGCAGTCATATGAGTCCGAAGAGTTCGGGGCAAAAGAGCATCACGCACGGAACCTTGCCACACACCTACAGTCAGGCTTGGTGCGTTAGTACATCTGAAGTGTAACAGCAGCTGAGGGACCTCGGCATGGCGGATTTGCAAACAGCTGCTGTGGCTACAGCTGCTGCATGATGATTTCGAAATTCTTTACTCTTATCCTCGAGAAGCAGCACGCACGTTCTCTTTGGTCCCAGTCCAGGATGCCACATAGCCAGCCTGGGTCCTAGGCCTAGACCGTGATGGCTTGATGTTTCAGCTTCTTCTCGTCCAGCGTATCTTTCTACGGTCGAAATGACCTTCAACATCCCGTTCTCCCCGTTGCTATGTTCTGAAAACTCCGGGCCTCAAAAGTAAAAGCTCCTCTCGGCAGGAAGAGGCCGTCGGCAATTTCATAGCACAGCTTCAGTTCACTCCGGAGGAGGGCGGGTCGCACGGAATCCTTGTACAAGTGCAGCTTGATAAAGCTATATAAAGGGCAGCAATACATCTCTTTTTTGTTGTGAGTGGGTGCGTGCGAGCGTGCGTGTGTGTGCGTGCGTGTGTGTGTGTGTGTGTGTGTGCGTTTTAATGTTTTGTTGGACACGAGAGCTTTGCAAGATCGACATCCATGCCGCTGTCGTCAGTCTCGAGCAGACTAGCAGGTTCAAATTGATAGGGCGCCAAGGACGCAGTCAAAGGTTTGTATAGATATTTGGTTTCAGATCTCAACGGGTGCTAGAGTTAAGCTGTCATCATGTTGACCTGTTTTCTCACATGTGTTCTCACGTGGTCATCGACCTGTTATGTTTGCAGAGACCGTAGTGTGTCGTCACTGGGCCTGATGAACGTCGTCCGACCGGTCCATGATCGAGTGCTCGGCCGCCTCGGCGTGCCCGGCAGCTCGTGGAGGCACAGGCAGCAAGGCCAGCACTGGACTCCAATTCGCCCGAAGCCGCAGGAGCCGTTGTGCCCGGCCTCCAGTGCCTGTCTCTTGGCTCTCGGAGCCCTTGTGGCCAGCCGGGTCCATGGCAAGCGGCTTCGGTCCCAGAGCAGTGCTCCCTTTCAGAGCCAAGGCCAAGGCCAGTGCCAACTGGCAGATTTCCCACTGCTGGACGGCGTCACACCCACGGAATACATGATTGAACACACTGACATCATGAACTGCTCCATCCCCTACGACCTCCCCGAAGCTCCAGTATTCGCCTTTGACAGTGTGGCACACTTCGTAGATGTGCAGCTCGCTGCTTTCATAGAGATGCTCCGGGAGGACATGGGCCATATGCTTGACATGTGCTGCAAGGCGAGAGTTGTTGGGCAACGTATACACTTGCAGTACTCCGGAACCTCATTGAACCGCTGTGACATAGTTGCAGATGAGGGCCAAGGCATAGCAGCGATGCAACTGATGCCACCGCCGCAGCGGTTTCCTGTGGATTCGAAGTCGCAATGGAGCAGGTTCATGCTCCTTGCACAGTGCAGAGCTCCCGGTAAGAAGTCCAACCGAGTCAAGGACGTTGGCCTGGTCTTTTGCGAAAAAATGAACCAGACGGACGGACTGGTGCTGCGGGCTCCGGAGAGGGTGCTAAAGGAGCTGCAAAATTGCATGATGCAAGGTGACTCCACTTGTTTCTGGAAGCTACAGAGCTTCAACCGCATGGTTACGGATCCCCTGGCCGTGCTTCAGAAGCTGCGCAGTGCACCTCCCACTGAGCTGTGCCGTGCGCTGTTCTTTGGCGAGATAGGACCTGGAGGTTCCGAGAGCGACGCGGATCTCTGTCAGCGCTTGGAAGGCTGGGTGGCGGCGAACCCTGATGTGCCGATGATGTTCAACCGGCAGCAATGCCGCGCACTGGCGCTTGAAGCGCTCACGGCTGCAGGGCCGGTTGTGGTGCAAGGGCCTCCAGGCCAGGAGAAGTCGTGTTGCACTCCTTTAGGTTTTTTGTTTGAGCATGGGCAGGAGAGGTAAGCCTTTGCTGTTGAAGTTCGGTAGATGCTTTTTTGGGATCGCATGGGGTGGTTGATGCTCGCCCGACCGACAGCACTCAGTTACAGGCCGTACTGAGATGCTATTGACATGTCCCGAGCTGTCTCGAATCCCTGCTGGGTTTTGCATGGCTGGAAAAATAGTCAGACAATGTAGAGTTCGATCCTCCATTCCCATGGCTCCGGTGAAGTCAAGTTGGCGCTGAGCATTGAGCATGTGTTGGCCTGTAGATATCAAGGTCCTCCTTCAGCACCCCTGCTGAAGCGGCGAAGCCAAAGAATGAAGCCGTGCATTTGGGTTTTGGGGGCTCGAGATAGGTGCAGAGTATCGGCAGGTCGGTTGTATTTCAAGGCAGCTGAACGGGTGGGGTTGCTCCTGCAGCATGCGGACGCACGAATCACGTCTTGTTCCTAACTGCTCATTCCTGTCGGTTCGCAGGTACCGGCAAGTCACACTTGATAGCCCACGCGCTGCTTCCGCAGATCATCCAGCGCGGTGGTCGTGCATTGGTCTTGTGCAACAGCAATGCTGCGCTGGATTCCATCGCAGAGAAAGTGCTAGATCCTGGCGAGTTCATTTCCAACGGCGGCTACGTCTCTGCCGAATCGAGGTGCGAGTTTTCGGAGAAAGGGTTGGTCAGTGTGGCCGCACGAAGACCTAAAACACCACAGGCCCTAATCTCCGAAAAAAGAAACACCGACATTGCTTTTGAATGTTTGTTATATGAAACTTTACATGCTGGCATTCCACATGCATATTATCGGTCTTGGTGTGTGTGTGTGTATGTATAGACTAACAACATGTAGCTTTATGTAATGTATACATGCATATTTGTATGTATGTTTTTGAAAGTCAATTGACGCAACAGGTTGCAGTGCATACATGCCGGTGTAGTGCTGGCAATTGTTTCGGCTTTCCGAAGCTTTCCAGGTGCATACGCGTTGGGTTCGAGAAGAAAGTCTGCCAAGCGGTGCTCCAGGCGGGCTGGTTCCGAGAACAAAATGACATCACGGAGGTCAGCAGCGGCCGGAAATCAGTCGTCTTCACGACGCTGTATAACACAATTGTCAAACATGGGGATTTTTCGAAAGCCAGTTTTGACACGCTGATCATCGATGAAGCAGGACAGGTCGAGGACTGGAAGTTGTTTATTTTGCTGCAGAAGATTACAAGCCTCAGGAAGGTGATTCTGGTAGGTGACCATAAGCAGCTGCAGCCCTACGTGAGCGACGGTGTGCGAGACAAAGGGTATGGAAGAAGTACAATGGAGAGGCTGATTGAGGGAAACGTCAGAGCAGGAAATGCCGGCATCGATTTCATCATGCTGGAGGAGCAGCACCGAATGCCCCCCTCTGTGCGCAACATCGTCAGCAAGGTTTTCTACAACGACAAATTAAAAGACGGGCCGAATATTCTGGCGAAGAGCAGGCGGTCCGGCAAAACCGCGAAAAGAATAGCTGCCTTCGACTTGTCGTTTGGCAAGACCGAGATCAAATCACTTGAGCGATCGCTGGAGAACTTGGACGAGGCGACCATCTCCAAGCTCATTTACGACCATCTTCTGCAGGCATCAGGCTACACAGTGCGTGACATTTGCGTCTTGTCCCCGTACAATCGACATAAGAATCGCTTGCGTACAATGCTCGCCGGAATTCCAGAGAGGGACTGGGCGAAGTGGGAGAATCTGAACCCGGACATCGTTATGGATTCTAGCATGGATGACCTGACTGCAGCAGTGCGTAACATCGACACAGTGGACAAGTTCCAGGGCTCGGAGCGAGAGGTTGTGATCATAAACACCGTCAGTGGTTGCCTGGAAAACAGTAAGCGCGCTTGCGATCCACACTTCATCAATGTAGCCATGAGCCGATGCAAGAGCTTGCTGGTGCTGATCGGCAGGCTAACAGAACTAGGAAATGGGGATGGCACCTGGCAGCAAATCATGAGTTTCCTGCAAGAGGCCCAGGTGCAGGCGCCTCACGGGGCAAACGCAGCAGACGTGTTTATTCTGCCGTGCGGAACGATGGAAGAGGCGAATGCGGGTGTTGAAGCATTGCTTCAACCTGTGTTGCTGCCGGGAAGCCTGACTGCCTATGGACCGGATGCCAAGAGAAGCAAAGTTTCAGGAAAGCGCCGATAACTTGCTCGACAATTCCGTTTTGTTAGTGCTAGTCAGCGAGTCTCTCCCAGATTTGGTGGCTCGCCCCAGCATTGATAATTAGATGCATGTTACGTCGGCAGGGTGGATTTGCGATTCGCGAAAATGGTGAGTGCACGACTCCCTGCAATGACTGCAAGAAATTAAGCATGCCTGTTAGGCAGGATTGAGTTCATTGAAGTCCCATTTAACGACATCCATGCAAACGGCTTTGCCATTCAAGGGGCCGCGTGTGTAGAGGTGACCAGGTTTGAGTTCCCCGGACGTCGGTGGGCGGGCTTTGGTGAAGAGCCACGATAGGATGCAGCGAGCCCATTTCGGTGAATTCCGGAAACCATCAAGGGGCGAAATCCCCTGTGAAGTAACATAGAATGACAGGGAAACGACCAATCGAAGCTACAATTATTATGCTGGTGGTAAGAGGCGGAGACAGACAATTTTCATAGTAGGCGATGGTGCAATCCAAGCTCAAACGCACGTTGAAGTTGAGTGTTTTCCTGCACTACCTGAACAACACCCCACAGCCTGAAGGCATCGACTCACCTCGACACCCCGAAACACCCCCAAATGTGCTCAGCAGCAATCCGCTGGCCCGAGACCTTCACTTGCCATCCGAACCATTTCAGTTGTAGCGGCAAGGGTGATTGCTGTCTTTCCAATCGACCTGTAAGGAGTGCCTTCCAAGAGAACGAGAGCCCCAACCCGTGAACCCGAAAGCCTAAGCCAGGAGTCGGCCTTCCTCTGGGATTTGACCCCAGAGATACGGGCCATTATCATCAACAACTTTCGGCCGGAAGCATAGCGTGTGATTTGCCAGATGCAAGGTTTTCTCGAGGAAAACCCAATACAGAGTCAACAGTAGCCTGCATCCGGATTTCTAGGTTCTGCTCACATAACCGATCTTGGGACGGCCTTCCGGAGCTTAAAAGGGCTAGGCGACAGCAATGAGTTTGGCGGGTCACTCTAGTTTTCATGCTGCTGCTGCTGCTGCTGATGCTGCTACGGCCACTACTGCGACACTTGCTGGTCCTGCTGCTGCGAGTAGACGAGACTGCTACTGCCACGGCTGTCGCTGCTGCTGCTGCTGCTGCTGCTGCTGCTGCTGGTGTACTGCTGGTTCTGCTGCTTCTGGTAGTCGTTGGTAGGAGCAGCAGAAGTAGATCCGGCATGCTGATGCAGTGAGGTTCTGGCGGTGCTGCGGGTGATTGGTGAAGGTTCTTTCATCATCATTACTCGTACCATGTTCGTCGCCTCATCATCACTGCAACTTCTGGATTGCTCTGCATTCTTGTTCTGGCCACTATCGTTCACGTTTCGATGACTTGCTTGAGCACCGAGGGCTCGGCAGTGTAGCTGTGCTCCGAGTTTTGTGTTTCGGGGTCCCAGAGACTTCGGCCCTAACGCATGATGTGCAAGATCTTGCCCGCTAGTGCCTTTCCACCAGATGACCCAAGGCCAGATGGCACCAAGGACCCGGTTGCTGGGACAGCTCGGGTTTTTATTCTGCAAATGCACGAGGCTACAGCGTGAAGCAGCGCACGAGCTCAAGTTTTCCGGACCGTAGGATTCCGGTGAGGTTGGCAGGGGAAAGGTTTGATGGCAGCGTAGCTACGTTGGCGCGTGGTCTCGAAAACACCCGAGTTCGTCGATCAGCAGGGTCAAGATACTTTAATGCATTCACTTTAATTCTTGCGGAGTCGCTCCTGGATGCTGCGAGCATTGCAAACACAAGAAGATGGAGGTATGAGTGCAATTCCCTTCTGTTTCTTGGCAACCTTGTGTAAGGGTTGAAAGTGCTTAGCCGACGCAGATCTTCGGTCTCGCTAGGATCTCACTTGGCCGATGCATGTCACACTCGTTGACACTTCGATGTACATCGTTGGTTGTGGCCCTTACAGAATGCTAGGATGGCAACATGCTGGGACGACTGCAAGGGTGCGCCTGGGGCCTGGGGGTGGCATGAAGTGGTTCGAGGCATGGCCTGGAGTCATGAGCCATCATGAGCCTCAGACCTGAGCCCGCTTCAGGACAGATTGGACTGTTGGACCGAAAATGTTGAGTTTGCATGGGTTAAGTTAATGCTCTTGGGTGTCGAGAGTTGGGGAGGGCGTTGGGCTGTGGGCCTGGGTTTTGGTGGTTCCAAGCGACTGGATGTCAACTCTGCAAAGTTAATGCACGAGTTTCGATGTCATCCGGTCGAGCGAAAGTCTCGTCAGTCGAAGAGTCCGGCATTGCCGATGGCATGCTGTGCAGTCGTTCAAGCCATCCCAAGCTTTACTTCAGCCCTCTACACGTTATGGTTTCGCCATGCGAAGCTACCTGTAAATGAAGGCTTAGGTGCCACTTTCTTTCAGGTTGTATCAGGCCGTGAGGCCAGGTTCATGAATTTTTTGATGCTACAGTCACAACACCCAAGCGACGCAGCCCGAGACTTGGTGCAGACTCGGGTCTGGATGGTAGAAAAAAATTGAAGCCCCAAGTCCCGACAGCCTTCTTCTGTACAAGCCTGAACTCGCCCTAGACCTTGCCGGCTAAACATCGTTGAAACTTACATCAGGTACACCCGGAGCGTGCTTCAAAGACAGGGCCTTCCCATTCCACACTCCTTGGCCATGGAGAACATCGCGCGCCCCGAGGTCCTTGGTGGGGCTTTCTGGATGTAGGCATCAGTTACGTTTCCCTTGAACCATTAAAGTATGAAAGTGTCGCCAGAGTCGCGCTCCGCTGCAGGGATCATATAAAGACTAAAGTCGACGAAACATGTCTTTGCCACAAGGCTGCAAGCCCAAGCCTTGTAATCTGGTACTGTTTGCGCCTGACCCTATCCATGCCTGCTGCAGATGCAACTCTCTTGCACCTTCTCTCTGTTTTATGTTTGGTCACCCTGGAGAACGCAGGTTGGCTGCTTTTCCTGGGATTCTTGTGGCTTCGTATGCGAACCTCTGAAACTTAAAGACCGAATTCTGAGACTCTGACGGCAGCAAGCCCTAAGCCGACATCGAAGCCTGAGGAAGCAAGATAACCCAACGAAGACTACCCGACTACCCGTATGTGCTGAAGCCCACAACAGGCATGACATCCGGAAGCAGCGATCCAAATAAAACGGAGCTGCAGTTCCGGCCCATCTGCAGGAGGCCAACAACTGGGGCACAGCCCCTACACCAGTCCCCATGGCCAACGCAAGCACCGGCCCAAGTTCATCGAATTCAGTCCAGGTTAAGCTGTACCCGCTGCGCAGGGCCTAGGTTCTCAAGAACGTGGCCTTTTTGCACTCATAAGAGCACCTGTTTCTAAGGCCTCAAGACTAACGACGAACCCAGTGCCCGAGAGCCATCCCGAAGAGCGGTGAGGCTATGCTGCTAGCCCGTGGGATCCTTGGTCTTTTGCCAGCCGGCCGGGGTGCCCAGCTTTCCATTGAAACTCTTACACACAGCCTTGCTTTTACTTTGGACCCTTGCGCACGCTTCTTCCACTTCACCCACTCAATCTTACGCACTCTTTTTCACTCCCACTCACTCTTGTTCGTTGTCCAGGATCTTGCACTCTTGCGGTTTGACAAGGTCTCTGTTGCTCTGCAACTCAAGCGCTTCTCCATCCACCTTGCGCTCGCCAATGACTGCCCGCAATCCTGAGTTACAGAAAATGCAAGCTGCTTTTTGGGAAAAGTAAACAAAGACAGAGCAACAGAACAAGAGCGTATGAAAGAGCACAGGAGTCAGGCAATAAGACAGCGTGGAAAGAAAAACTCAGAGAGATCACGAAAGTAACAGGGTCAAGGAGGGAGATCGGGCTTCGAGCAAGCGCTCAATAATGCGCAAATGTTGACATTGCCCTTTGCGTCAGCGCAATTCGCGGCAAGTTCAACCAATTGTCAGGGTGTGTGTGTGTGTGTTGTCCAACAACAATGACGGGATGCGTACAACAGTTCAATTCGATCAGTCGGTACGTCGTGAGGGAAAGGTAGGCACCAGCTTTCTGCGTCCTGCGACAGAGGGTTCGCAGTTCGCAAGGAAGTTTCCAGCTGAAGGTCTTGGTTTGTCAGTGCTTATCCGTCTTTCGTCCTCGTCCACTGCCGCTAGCAGAGGTTGATCTGCAAAGCCTTCTACGTAGTGGACTTGAATGTCGGGTCTGGCATAGTTGGTTGCTGCAAGGATTGACAAGGACGCTGACGTGCATGATGTGCCTAACTTGCCAAGCTTGGCATTCAGATGAGCCGTCCACTGCGATTTTGACATGGATGTGCAGAACAAGCAGCATCTGAACCGGATGCCAAGCCGCATAACCCGGAAGTACCCAAACCCTACGCCCTGACATGAACCGCCACGTCACATATCCATCGCAGACATGAGGCCGGGGTACGAGGTAGTTCGGACTTTCTGCACGTGTTCCGGCTCGCAAAGTAACCAGACGGTGGTCAATCCATGGTGCGATCATTGCAGCATCCCTTCGTGAAGCGGACGGGAACCTTGTCCTGAAATGTCCGCAATATCAACGTTGAGGTATCACCCTGTTCTGCGTCGCGGCTGACAGGCAACTGAGTCCGTGTGAGAGAGAGAGAGGTATCACCCAGTCCGACCACGCACCTTGAGACCTCGCCCGGCTAGCCCGAGTTGTGAGAGCATAACCTCCGGAATATTTCCAAGGCTTGGCCTCAACGACGAGGGTGCCCAGTTCCTGGCGTCTCTACCCGAGGTCTGGGATAGGGGTACGCAGGTGAGGAGGGAGAGGGTGGTGCCAGCTCACAAGGCAGTCCGTGTAGAATCAACATGATGAACCCGCCCTGGTTGCAGTGTTGAACAAAAACGTTGTTTTCCTGTAGCCTGCCTTGCCTACTTTTGTTCCAGCTTGGCAGCGCGATTTCACCATGCATGCTGCTGTGTTGAAGCGGCTTGCAGCAACTTTTGACTTCTTGCTACTTCCGTCCCCTTAATATTTGAACGGGGGGGGGGCACCCGCTCCCCCAAACAAAAGCTCGGAAAGTATTTTTTTATGATTAACTAGGGTGTATTTTCTTTTGAGGGCTCTTGCTCCTGCGTTGGCTTCAGCTCCTGCTCCTGCTGCGTCTCTTGCGCATGATCGCTTGCTCTTACTCCTGCTCTTGCCTTTGCTCCTGCTCTTGCTCCGGCTCCTGCTCTTGCTGTTGCTCCTGCTCTTGTTCTTGCTCTTGCTCCTGCCCTGGCTCTTGTCTTTCTTCTGTTCTTGCTCCTCCTCCTGCTCTTGCTCATGAACCCCCTCGAGCAAACCAGGTTTTGAAGGGCGGGGATGATTTCGGTAAGATTGGCCCCAAATGTTTTTGCTATTGGGGGGTGTTCAACAGATGAGGGAAGGGAGCACTGTCATGATACTGTTTCGTCAACTTGCATTGCGACATACTTGTTTGTTCCTATGTTTCGGGGCTCGCAGGTAGGTTCGAAATCTGCTACGGTGCAGCTCAAGTTACAGCGCACATTCTCATTGCAGCGAAGATCCCCGCCTTTGCGCTCTTTGCGAGTTTGGATCGTAGAGTCGCACTTGCGAACAGCCTCTTGCAACGATGCCGTCCGGCAGGCATCAGTAGAATATGTTGACCCGGAGCCATCCTTGGTCCACAGAATCACAGCAGGAATTGCTGAAAGCCAGCATTCAGAGCTTCGATCCCGCCGGCACCAAGGACGACGAACCAGAACCCAGTGCTAAGTGCTAAGTTTGAGGTCTTGTCGACAGAAGTCTGGGAATTTCAATGGTCCTGCGGGGAGCTTTTAACGCAAAGCATATCTTAATTCCCCAGACAGTGTGGTAGCACGATGGGTTCGTAAGTTTGGTGTAGTGGGCTTTAGTCCCTGAGCCGGCGTCGACGGCAGTTCTTCCACTCCCTCTGAAATTCTCGACTGAAGCTGCGTTCCTTCCAAATCCAGAGTACACCCCATTACTTGTGTGCATTAAAGCCATGCGAATTTTGTGTTTTTTGGGACGGTTGGAGGGCCGAGGGTATGTACCGCTCGGACTGCCAGGTCTTCTTTCACTGTTCGGCATTTATGCTGGCACGCTTATGATTAAAGTCGTGGCCAGAAAGAGAAGCCACGGATGCCCCCCCCTTTAGCCAGGAGTGCATCTAGTTCTCTTCGTCCTTATCGAGTGGAAGCTCATGCTCGCAGCGCAAGATTCAAGTATGAGCTTTGTCTACTACCATCAACATTGCACAAGGCAAAGGGCTATCTCGGATACAGCTTTGCACGAGCTCGGACATCTTAGTCCAGTCCCTTATGCAGAGTGGAGGCAGAGAAAGAGCCCTGGCAAATAACAGCAGTGCTTGGCGGCAATTCTCGCTAGGATGGCAATGTGTGGGGACGTCTACTCGGCTTTATCCGCGGCCTTTGGATGAAACGTGCGAGGCTTACTGGCGTGAGCTCAAGGTGTTGCGTGAGGTCGAGTCACTGTGCGGTCCGTGTTGAGCCCATGGCAGAACGATTCGTCGATCGCTAGGAAACATAATTCGGACTTCTGTGCTACCGAGAACCCCGAGCCAAAACGACCCAAACCACCCTGACAATTCGGCACGCTTTTAGAAAAGTAGGAGGCGAAAAATAGCAGACACAATGCCTGGAAAATAAACTAGCTGCAGTGGTGAGTTCATCATTGTAGGCTTGCTGCTCACCCCTTCCTTCGACACTCCCATAGTGGTCCACCGAGGCCTTCAGCTGAACGAGGAGGCTGGCTGCTCGAACGGAAAAGGTTCTAGACACTTGGAAGTGAAGACTTTCCAGTCAAGGACGCAGAGAACCGAACGACTCCCCACTAAGTTCGTCCCGGTCCACCACCACCACCGCCTCCCACCACCCACCCACCACCGGCCCACCCCAGCACCGCGACCACCCCACCACCACCGCCACCGCCACCGCTACCAGCACTGCCACCAGCACCACCGCCAGCACGACTGCCAGAACTACCGCCACCACCACCGCCATCCCCACCCCCACTACCACCACCGCCGCCAGCACCACCACCGCCACCACCACTACCACCGCCGCCACCACCACCACCGCCGCCGCCGCCGCCGCCGCCGCGGCCACCACCCCCGCCGCCGCCGCCACCACCACCACCACCACCACCACCACCACCACCAGCAGCCAACGCATCACACGTTGGCAGTCTTCAGAAGCACACTTCCCCAAGCAGCCGTGACTCAGATCGCTCCTCTGAGAATAGCACATTGCAGGGTACTGCCTGCCATGAAAGCTGCACGGAGGCCACATCTTGCGTCAAGAACCTATCGGAGGAGGCGCTGATGCAGGCCCGGCAGGGGTGCGACTGCGACTGCCTAAAGGGCCGAAGCGTTGCAGGTTTTGAGGGGGGGTGCAGTTGGAGGGAAGCCGCCCACTGATGGCAGGTCATGATATCCTTCCATCCTGGACCGAAGGATGGGAACGTTTCTGCCAGCACCCTAGTTGATGGGGGATTAAATTACTGGTTCAATACCGCCTCACAGATGAAATCCCGGATCTCCTTCCCTGCTGCCGGTTGCAGCAGCACGACCAGGCCCTTCTTCCCCAGCGCAAAAGCACTTCGCATCAAGGCTCGACTCCTCGCCTTCGCCAAGAATCTCTCCTGGTCCGGTCCGATGCAGCACCAGGCGCCTCAGAAAACTCGACCTGCAAGTGGCTGTCACCGCCCCAAGATCAAGTTGGGTCCGGGATGACGCTCGGAAAGGGAGGGGCACTCCCTATCCAAGCCCAGAAGCAACAAGACTACGAACTGTGCAGTGCCGCCGATCCCAGACCCCACTCCCTCTCAGAGGCCCTCAGAACCGCAGACGTCAAAACCGGTTGTATGGCGTCCGGCTGAACCGCAGAAGACTTTCTGGTCCTCCCGGCACAGGGGTTGTACACAAATTCGAAGCAAAAAGAAGGGGGGAGCACCATCAGTACTGACATGCATCATCACCATCCTACCTCATGTCCGTTTCCTTCGCAGTTCTTGTAAGCCACAACGTTTTTTTTTAACTTGAGTCTGAGTCCTTTGGCCCCAATCTCGTCTGTTCTGTATTCTCTAGAACTCCGGACCCTGAATCCGATGCCATTCAGGCTGAACACGAAGCACCCGAATCTCGCCTCGCTGTCCAGGGGTCTTATGAGCAGACCTGGCAGGATCCGAGTGCAGCCCAGAACTCGGACTATCTAGGAGGCTACTCGAAAGGGTTATGGGGTTTGAAAGCTTCTTTTTGTTCTCCATTCTACTGGGATGTACCTTTAGGTACGGCGTTTGGGCTCGCAGATGAAACCCCGATCAGAACCTAGTTCGTTTGGATAGTCTTGCATTGCGTTGCGGTTCGGGATGGCTTCGAGGTGCTGAGTTGCGGAATTCCGGGTGCTGAGCGGTAAGTTTCAGAGTTTACTGGTGTCCGGACTTTTTGGGTCGAGCGCACGCAGGAGCGGTCGGTTGTTTTGGACTCAGAGTTGGGACGCCAGTGAGCGCTTAGGTTTGGACGAAATTTTTACGCGATTTGTAGGGGGCTTTTTTGTTTGGGGTGCCTCGTGCGGCGGTGCCAAGTCGGACGGCAGCTGCCATATAGTGCCTGCTCTGCACTCCGATGCTTCTGGAGATCTGCAGCTGTCACCAGGACCTCCTTTTTCAAGCGCGGCAATGGCCCGTTTGCCCCGGATGTCCACTTCAGGTGCCGTGTTTTGGATTGGAAGCGTTTGATGATGGGCTCGCGGGCTTGCCACAGCAAGCTTGGATCCAGCCGCTCACCATCAGTGCTAGACGGCTAGACGAGAGTTTCACGCTCTAAGGCCCTGGGCCTGAGGCCCAAGTGAGCGAGCCTAACTAATGGCGTAGGATAGACGGCTCGGGGACGGAATGAATGCATGCCCCTAAGGCCATGCCGACGCCCTCGCCCTCGGCGCCCATCAGCTATGCTCCGCCACGTGCGCAGGCACTCGGGGCTGCTGGCACTCAGTGCTGAAGTCGGAACTTCGGAACTCCGCTTTGATTCGTGGGGTCACCCTTCGCTCTTATGACGACTTTGTGTTCGGAGCTCGTTTTGGCCGCCCTGTGCTTGTCACATAAGCTGGCCAATCCCATGGGGATTGCAACGACGGAACCGAAATCGAACTTGAGGTTCGTTTTGATGGTTCCTGACTTCTCCAACATGAAGACCCCACGCGTCATTTGGAAGAATTGCCTTTGTCGGGCATTCGGATGGATCAATTTCTAATGGCTCGGAGGTGCAGGCTGCTGCGTGCACCTGCCAGTCTACATCGGAGTCAGCCTCTGAAGCAGCCTCGCAAGATGTGCTTTTGCGTCCCAAACATCCCAAGCCGCTATGTTGGACGCACCGTTCCTTCTGTCACGCAGGCGCGCAGCGCATCATCCGTTGTCTGGGAGCTCGCCACGTACTGGCAGCTGGACCAAGGTGGGACTGCAAGGAGCGGGGTTGAGTTCGGCCGACAGGGAGTCACGAAAAGGTGCAGTGATCAGCCTAATTTAGCGGTGTACTTTGTTGATGCTGCGTAGCTGTATCACGAAGCGGCAATCTCCAACCTCAAGGCCTTGGCTGATCTGGGCAATCAGGGCAGCAGTCAAGTCCCTGAATAAACAGGCCCAAAGATTCAAGGTTTTAGATGGCACGAAGGGGTCCACGTCTACCGTCAGGCGCCAGATGAGTTTTGTTTTTTGCAAGGCGCAGCTGAACTTAGAGCCCCGAAATCCTGTTCGTGGGCTTTCTTGGCTCCAATCCGAAGTTTTGTTGACATCAGTTGATCGGAGGAGCACGCAGTAGCACATCCCGCCTCGCATCGGAGTGGCTTCCAAACTCTGATAGATGACGCCAGGTTCCATAGACTTTTTGATGCAATTGCCGGACGAGGCCATGACAGACCGCTTTTTTAAGGTTAGCGCTCTGTAAGTCCTGCCGTGCGACGGCCTGCATGAAACTGAGCTTCACCTGGCATGTAAATGCAGCAAATGTCAAACGTCCGAACACAGCTGATTGAGTCTAATCGAGTTAATCTCGGGGGTATTGGCAGGTTTCGGCGTCATCAGTGCCATGCAAAGTCATGACGAGACAGTCATCACCTCATGACCCCGGAGCCCAATGGTTTGCAGCTTTTCGTTTTTGTCATCACGGCTGCTGTCTTTCTCGGCCTGACTCCCGCCGCCACGGCTGTCCGAGGGCAGTAGCCTCGCTGCCATCGGCCCCCAGCAATGGCAGCAATCCAGTCTTCGCCAGGAATCCAAACCTGAGACTTGCTTGGTTCTCCAGCTGGCGAGTTTGCAATCGCGGCTTCTGTTTCGGGAGGAAGCGGTGAAGCCCTGCCTCTTTACCGGACTACAGGAAAGTTCTTTCGACAGGTCCAAGAAATCCATGGTTTCAAAAGCGCCTGAACCCCCAGGTGCTCAAGACGCGGGTCTACAGCATTCGTCCTCCCATGGTTTCCACTCCCTAGTATGTCTCGGACGCACTTAAGTCAATCTGCGAAGCTCCAGACTGACGCCGCAGCCCATGTTTCGGGCAAACCTTCCGTGTGCGGAATTGCCGCTGCCCCACAGGCCCTTGTAGGCTAGTCGTTGCTGCTCGCATTTTTTGGCCAATATGTCGTTGACCAGCACATGCTCGTAGTCAGATTGTGTGAACAGTGTAGCCTTTAGGCCCTCAGACCCAACAGGCGGATCTTGCGCCCAGAGCAGGTTCAGAAAATTCCACGTTTGACCTTTGGTCTTGATTCCCAGAGAACCGAAAAGCCTGCGCAGATCAAGTGGGAGATCTCCACGGGCTTCAACCCTTGGGGGGCGAAGGCATGCAACAGGGTGGTTGTTCGCAGAGTTGAGTCGGCAAGGGGTTGCTACAGAGGGTGCCATCTCCGCAAAGGCAGGATTACCTTGGCGATGGGCTCAGGCTCTTGGCGTAGATGCGTATAATGGCTTTCAGATATCACGGCTGGCTGCCTTGAAGATTGAACCATTTTTTGCCCGGTGTTCTGGATTTTACACTTGCCGTGTGAAAAATGAAGCACTGGTTTGCAGCACAGTGTGTTCCATCGAAGCTGAGAGCCGGCGTGCTGACCTGTCGAACCATTCAGAGCCGTGGGTGTACGTAGATTGTAAGAGGCTGAAGTAGTTTGAGAACAAAGCTCCACAGCCCCAACTGATGAACTCAAATTGTACGGGTTTCAGGGGTGAAAGCTCATGTTCTCCCACATCCTACCATTTCGAAGACTTTGAGACTGCGGCTTAATGTCGCTCTGTAACGCGAGCCGGAAGATACAAATGGGTCAGGATGGAAACATTTGGGGACGTCTCTTGGGCTTCATCCGCGTCCTCGTGGCGCAGTGGGTCGGATGGGCAGCGCACTCGGTTCGCGAATCAGAAGTCCATGACTGTTCCATGCTAGTCTGATTTCTCCGAGCATTCAGTGAATCACTTCGTGATACTACTTTGAGAAGTGTAAGGGTCTGGTGGCCATGGCAGCTCGGGCAGCATGTCATGGTTAGCTTGAAGACCATGGCAACGCTTCGAGCATGCAGCTGAGAGTAGTGTCTGAACCTAGCGGGAGCTCCAGCAGCAGATTTTTGTAAGGGCAGCAAAGCAATGCTGGAGTGTCAGTTATGGCTAAGGATCGGACCAAAGTGGAGTACATGAAGACACTGCCAGAGGCCGCAGCGTGAGCTGGCACAGCCTCATGCCCAATAGATCAGATCAACCCTGAACCATCCTGAACCCTTTTTGTTTTGGAGCGCTGAAGCTGATTCTAAGTCAGTTATAGTCAGTTCGTATCGAGCTAAAGCCCAAACAGAGGGAAGCCCCAGTTTGGTGTATCCGATATCCGCGTTGCCCGCAAGGTCATAAGACTCATAAGACTCGAAGCCCTGACAAGCAAAGCTTATGTTAGAGTCTTTGATTTAGTGGAGACTGGCAGTTGTCGTTCGGATTGGGAGGACCAGCAGAAGGAGATGATCCTGTGCTGGCCTCGGAATGGTCCACATTTGTTCAGAGGCGACGGCGGCGATAATGATCGGTCGTGCGATCGCCAATGTCACCTCTACCATCACAAAATCATCATCAACAACATTGCCAGTATATACCAGACTGGTGATAACGGCGATGACCAGCCTCAGGACAGGGGTGAAGCAGCCAACGATAATGATGACGGCGGTAGGGATGGCTAGTGCTGGAGAAGATGAGGATTGTGGCGATGATCCTGATGGTGTGCGGTTCGTACTTGAACAGCATGGACTTCACTAGTAAGAAGCGAAGACCGCATAGCCATCCTGATTATGAGATGATGAGGCCATCCTGATTCTGAGAAGATGAGGAAGACGATGGTAGTGGTTGCCCTGGTCATGGCGATTCTAACATGTTTGAAGAGATGGTGCTCGTGTCGGTAATGGTGCTGGTGATTGTGGCAGAGAGCTTGCTTCCTGTTCCTTTGTGAAAAAAAGCCATTCGAAATCAGGACTTCACTTCACTCCGTGTATCAGGGCTACACCAACCAGGCAGTGTGGTCTCCGCCACGCCGGGGCCTTGGTTCTTGGGTTCTTGTTGGTTTTAGCCAGTTGTCGAGCTGATTTTGCGATACTTGGGAGGCCTTGCAATGGGGCTCATGCGGGTGCATCACTCTCGGCCCAAGCCGGTCAGCCAGGGAGCTCAATGAAATGTTGCACATGACATGCCGAGCGCCTGTGGGTGATGCTCAAATGAGCTGTACTTTCCAAAGGCGAGGTACGAAGTGAGAGCCGGAAGCCCGTGCCATGATCCCCTGTACCTCGGTGGGCCAATACCATCCACCAGAAACCTGCCAAGTAGGTCCTCCTCCCACGAGAAGTGCTCGTGGGCCACGAGGCGCCCGTGGCATCTTCTGCCCGCCGAGACCAAGCGCGCCGGTGTGGGGCTGTGAGCCGGATCAACATGTGTCTTCCAAGTCCATCGACTTGGAGGTCCGCTTGGAACGTCTCCTCTTCGGCATGTTAAGCCGATCGTATGAGATTCCCCGGGGTGCGCTGGGGGCCGAGGTCAGCTGGCTGTTGCAGACACTGCTGAAGAAGTTTCAAGAAGGCCTGGAAGCCCTACGCTTGTTGGCTTGTACCTGGACCTTCCGGCTTTGCTTTGCCAACAGCTCGGTCTGGTGGCAAAGCTGGGGGCAACTGTCGAATCTGCTGGAGCAAGCCGCCGAGAAAATGGTGGCGGTGGGCTATGACATTTTCGAAACCTATGGGGTTCATGCGAGCTTGGTGCGTATCCCCAAGCCTGTCGCCGTTCAAGCCGGTGGAAATGCTATCCCCGAGATGTTGCTTGGTCGCCCAAGCTGTCATGTTGTAAAGTTGTACAGTAGGCGGGAGCTGTTTCGTGGAAGGCGGACATGTGGAGCTGAGGTTGCTGCAGGCGGAGAGCTTCTACAACGCCTTCACGACATCCATGGATCCCATCTTTGGCGACGTTATACCGCAAGTTTTAGAGCATCGGAACCGCTTCAATCGACAGGCACTTGGCCTAAAGATATACTCGCCCGACTTCCCGCCGGAGGTCCCAGGAAGCCAGCTGTGGCAGTCCTACCCGGCCAGTTTCGCCGACAGTTGCCAGTCGGCTGCCAATCTGCCGTGGCACGACAGGAGACAGGACCGAGAGGGGCTCGGAGGTGGCTTTGACATGTCGGGCCTACGGATCAGACATCGGACGATAGAGGAGGTGGTGGAAGAGATTGCTGAAGTGCAGGAGTTGTCTTTCCAGGTGCTGAACTTGGGAGCCATGGATGGCAGGTGTAGCGGCGGACCCTCTACAGATCCTGCGAACTGTTTGCTGCAGGGTTCGGCGATGAACCGTTCCTGGGGTGGTGTGGTGGTCGAGGCTGCCCCACCCCCGAAGCTTTGGGAACTCTTCGGTAAGCGACATGATGTGGTTATTGTGGACAGGGCTGTGTTTCCGGAAAATGCTTCGAGAGTCTTCGACTTCGGACTGCAGGCACCAAATCCCCCCAAAAGTTTGGACTTGCTGAAGATCGACCTGGACTCCTTTGACTGTGACGTGGTCTCCAGTCTCTTGAGAGTAGGGCCTTTAGCGAGAAATCCTCCCAAGCTCCTTTACATCGAGCCCTGGAGTGTCAAGCAGAAGATATTCTTCTTAGAGCATCTTCTGTTAACATGGCACATGAGTTAGCGATTCCGTTCGCACCTTTGCAGCTGAGGACTTCAATCCTCACATCCCTCCACCCTTTCTCTACCGGACCATCTCAACCTCACAGACAAGGATCATACCTTTCCAGGGCTCTTCCCTGCAATGCTTCTTGGAGGCCGCACGCAACTTCAGGCTGTTGCACGTGGAGCTCTTCAACGCGGTTCTGGTGCGAGAGGACCTCTGCGGAGCTCTCTGCAGAACGGGCACGGTGAAGTTTGTTTTCAATAAGCGGAGGGCGGCCGAATCGCACCTCACCCTTCCACTCCCTAAACCCTCCACGCCTCCAC